TTTTTTTTTTTTTTTTTTTTTTTTTTTTTGTTTAGATTACTATCTAACTGGCATGGTGACGCTGTATACAGCACCCCATAAGCCCAACTTCCTCACTTTCTCTGCTTCTTGTCAAGGAAGACCTCTCTATGAACTGTTTATAAAACTTCTGTCCATATCTGTATTTGATTGTCCTCGAACTTAACCACATGACCAGATCTAGTTGCAAGGGCATCTGGGAAATGTAGTTTTTATGTTGAGGAGACCGAGTGTCCTCATCTGAGGTCGGGGTGATCTGGGTTATGTTGCAGTGATAAGCTGTCCCGTTTTACCCACAGGCTCATTAAGGGTTTATTTCTTGAGGCTGCCACACACCTGTCTACCTGAGACAGGTGTGACAAGGGTCAGAATTGTGTGTGCTCACTCAGGAACCACTGACAGGACCAGTCACTGGGACAGGGATAGGGAGGAAAGTCATAGCATGCTTCCGCCCGCATTTCATCAACCAAAGCATCATTGTTGCATCCTAATTAGGGGCTGAGGAAGTGCAATTCCACCTGTGGCCAGAAGAAGGAGCAAGAGCACAGTTCGAACATCATTTGCTGGAAATCCCTCCTCAAATCTTTTATTTAATTATAAATTTGGTCGGGTGTGGTGGCGCACACCTTTCACCCAGCACTCCAGAGGCAGAGACAGGTGGATCTCTGTGAGTTCCAGGCAAGCCAGAGCTACACAGAGAGACCTCGTCTCAAAAAAATAAGATTTTTTTTAAAGCATATAATATTCTGCCTACATGGATGCCTGCAGGCCAGAAGAGGGTACCAGATCCCATTATAAATGACTGTGAGCCACCATGTGGGTGCTGGGAATTGAACTCAGGTCCTTTGGAAGAGCAGCCAGTGCTCTTAACCTCTGAGCCATCTCTCCAGCCCGATTTTCTTTTTTTAAAGAAATAATTAAGCCCTGATTCATGTACTCATTCGCTAATTCCTCTAGCCCCAAAGCCACTTGGTTGATCTGGGTGGCTATCTTAACCAGGCACCAGTTGTGTGAGATCTAGGCCTGGGGAAGTCCCTCAAGGAGCTCATTTGCATACTGCCAATCAGCTGGGGCTGTAACTTCCCCTCCCTGGGATTCTCCAGCATCCTCTTTTCCTGTTCGCTGGAGGAAACTGCTACCAAACAGTGGCTTAAAACAACAAGAGTTTATTAGCTTACAATCGTAGATATCAAGAGTATAAAGTGGATGTCACTGAGCTGTGGTCCCGGAGTCCACAGGGCCGGGTGCTTCTACAGTCAGGGCGTGTGTGTGTGTGTGTGTGTGTGTGTGTGTGTGTGTGTGTGTGTGTGTGTGTAGGTGTGTAGGTGTGTAGGTGTGTGTAGGGGAAGAAGGGCAGGGCAGTTTCTTGAGCTTCCAAGCATCTAGAGATTTCTCCCATTTCATCTCTTCCCAGTGGTTGATGTTTTCTGATTTTTTTTTTTAACGTGGGGTTCAGAGGATTGAACCCAGGCCTCTCCCATACTTAGCAAGCTGAGCCAGGCCCACACCCTTCACTGGTGGATTTTAGGCAAGGGCTCTTATATTAAGCCACGCCCCCAGCCCTCACGGGTGGGTTCTAGGCAGTCCCAGTCCTATGGGTGGCTGATTCTGAGGTCCTCTTGCCCAGGGCTGTCTTCTTAGGTCAGCTGCTTTTGCTCTGGTGACCCCTCGCGACCCACAAGTTGAGAACCATTGCTTCGGCGTCTTCCTGGTAATGCTTTCTCCCCAAGGAAGGGGTTTCCGGATAACTGGTTGAGCCACGATGGGATTTCATGGCGGGGTGCCTTCGATGCAGTCAGACCTAAGGCTTTCTCCCATGGATGGGGACCCTCGGGAGCAGGAGCCTGCTTTCTTAGGCAGGTGTGGACGAGGCACAGACTGAAGGCTGTTGGAGTCAGTCTCCCGTGCCGTGGGGCACCTGCCCCCTGCCATGCTGGGTCTATGGCGCTTGCCAGCTCCCACGGCTTTGGCCTGTGGGCGTCACGGGTCTTTTCTGCAGGTGTGAGGCCCTGAGGGTCAGGGTCAGGGGAAGGCAGAGGTTCTGTCTTCTGGGCAGGCCTGGCCCCGAGCTCGTCAGGAAGTTGGCACCAGCTGGCAGTACGGGGCCGGGTCGGGGTTTAGTAGGTCCTAAGAGGGGGGAGAGGAACTGTGAGGGGCAGGAAAGGTGGAGATGGGGCGGGAGTGGGGGGCAGGCAGACTATGACAGGCAGAGAATGGAACCAGGAGACGGAAAGGGGGTGAGCCCCAGGGTGAGGGGGTGCTAGTGGGAGCAGGAGAGGTGGACACAAAATAAGAGGCAGGGTCAGGGCTGGACAGGAAAAGGGAGCCGACATAGAGGAGGAGGGAGGGAGGGAGAGGAAGCCCAGAAGAGCGGAGAAACACCCGTGGATGCAGACAGACTCTGAGGAGACAGACAGGGCACTTTTAGGGGTGCCCAGGAGGGAACTGGAGAGACTTGAGAGCCAATCCAGAACCGGTCCCTTCAAGCAGTGGGGTTCCATTGCGGCCTGACATGTTCTGCTGTGAGACCCTGAGCAATCTCCTTTCCCACCCTGGGCCTTGTTCCTCCCGTACAGATTTGAAGCCTTGGGTGATTATTGCAGAGGAAGAGGGGGGCCCAGGAAGGCAGAGGGCTTGTTCAGGGGGTCAGTCTCAAGGAAGCTGAAACAGGTTCCGCAGGAGAGCTTTCTTGGGGGAGGGAGGAGCCCCTATCCCTGGCCCTCTGACCCTCCCTGCCCCAGGCTCCTCCGTGGGGTTCTTGCCGCTCCCCAGTCCATACCTGGTAGTGCTGGTTCTCGGGCTGTGCTTGCTGGGATGGTAGTGGAGGCCGGTTCTGCAAGGAAGGGGTACAGGTGAGGGGGTACCCCATGCCCTCTAACCTTTGACCCTGATGCTATGACGTGCATGCCTGGCCCTCTGATTATGAAGCCCCTAAGAGCAGGGAACTCACCCCTTGTAGGTCAACACACCTTAGGTAGTGGGCCTCATATGAGGGCTTTTGGGGTGCCCAGGTGCTGGCCAGCTTCACCATTAGTGCTTAGCTTAGTTTCAATAATTAGCTCTTTACATTCTCTCTGTCTCTGTCCTCCTTTTAAAAATATTATTGCCAGGAGGTGGTGGCGCACCCCTTTAATCCCAGCATTCAGCAGAGGCAGGCAGATCTCTGTGAGTTCAAGTCCAGCCTAGTCTACAGAGTGAGTTCCAGGACAGCCAGGGCTACACAGAAACCCTGTCTTGAAAAAAAAAAGAGAAAGAATATATGTCATTGTATGTAGGAGTGTGTAGGTGCACATAGAGAGGTCTGAGGGTGAATTTGTGGAATCAATTTCCTCTGGCTTTTATGTGGTTTCCAGGGAGGGACTCAGGCCATCAGGTCAGTGGGGCGGAGCCTTTCCCTGCTCAGCCATTTCCCGGGATCCTTGTTCTCCTGATTGTTTTAAAGATTTCAGTTTTCATTGGTGTATGTGTGTGTCTGTGTGTTTTTGTCATATGTTTGTCTGTCTCTGTATGTGTGTGTTTCTGTGTGTCTCTGTGTGTATCTGTGTGTCTATATTTATGTGTGTGTGTGGTGTATGTATGTGTCTCTGTGCATGTGGTGTGTATATGTATATGTGTCTGTGTACATGTCAGTGTCTCTGCGTGTGTGCGGTATTTGTATGTGTATGTATATGTGGTGTGTGTGTGTGTGTGTGGTGTTTGTATGTGTATGTATATGTGGGGTGTGTGTGTGTACCATGTGCATGTGGTTGCCCACTGAAGGCCAGTACAGGGCATCAGGTCCGATGGAGCTGTGGTCATAGCTGGTTGTGAGCTGCTGGATGTGGGTGCTGGGAACCGAACTTGGGTCCTCAAAAGTAGTAAGCAAGTGCTGAGCCATCTCTCCAGCCAGCTCTCCACACTTCTGTTGGTTTTTGAGACCGGGTCTCAGTCTAGCCCAGGCTGACCTCCAGCTTGGAGGCTGGCTTTGAACTCTCGATTCTCCTGCCTCCAGCACCCATGTTGCTAAGGAAATATGATTCTTCGGTGGCTCTGCCTGCAAGTTGTACGGCTTTCTTGAGTCGTCACCTGTGCTAGTGTGTGGCTTCCAGAGTCACCCACACCCTGTAAGTAACCCCAGAAACTGTTTCACCAGCTGGACTTGGATGGAATCCTTGCCCTGGCTGTCCTTGGGCCCCATCTGGGTTGAAGAGACACACAAGAATTGGAAAGAGGGGCTGGCAAGAGGGCTCAGTGGGGCGAGGTGCTTGCCACTAATCCTGATGATCTGAGTTCGATTCCCAGCACCCACATGGTGGATGGAGATAACTGAGTCCCACAAGCTGTCCTTGAACTTCCATGTGGGTGTCATGTATGTGTGCCCCCCCAACCCCCACCCCCACCCCCGACACAGGAAGGAAAGGAAGAAAGAACGAATTGACTGGAGAGAGGAAAGCAGAGCTGTGGTTTCTAGGTGCCCAGGCACTCAGGGAAGGGGCCTTGTGAGAAGCAAGCTCTAAGGGGACAGGACTCACCGTGGCTGGGTTCCCTGGCTCTGTGTCACTGATGGGGGACACCAGGAAGGTTGGAGATGGCATCACTTCATAGACGTTGCTGTCCCCTGAAGGAGAGGAGGGAGGGACCTCGGTGACAGAAGGCTCCTGTCGCCCGTTCTGCCTGTCTGTCCACTTCATCCACTTCATTCACTCAGTCACTCAACAAACATTTCATGCAAACCGCTCCTCCTGCCAACTGTGTGCCGGGGACACAGTGGTGGCCCAGACAATCCAGGCAGTGCCCTCCTAGTACTTGAAGTCCCCTGGGGGAAGAGAGATCCATCTCCAGAGAGTGACAACCCAGAGCGTCTAAGGCTGGGAGCAGGGGTGGGGGGTGGGGGGTGGGGTGGGGGAGCCTTAGGAACATAGAAGCAGGTGCCAGACCAGCCTGGACATCAGGGAGGACTACCCGGAGGAGGGGTCATCTGAGACAGCGAGACGTAAAAACTGGACAGAGGCCGGAGGGATGCTTGCAGGAGCCTGGAAAGAGAGCCCACTGTCTGCACATCGGGAGGGACCTGGGAGCCGTACTGGGGAGACGAAGTTTGTCCCAGGCCCTGGGGGAGCTGTGGAAGGTTTATGAGGAGGGCCTTAACCCTCTCCAACCCCCTCAGTGAGTCCAAGGGTCCCAGTGGGCTCTGACTGCGTGTAGGACTGGAGTGGGAGACACACAAAGGCTGGGTAGAGAGACACTCGCTCCTGGCTTACCAGATTCAGGACTAGTGTTCAGTTCTGGCTGCTCTGTAGCTGGAATCCTGGGGGTACATAAAAGACTTCTGAGATGCTTGGGTGGGGGAAGGGGACCCCGAGAACCTGGAGACTCCCTGACTCCCACCCTCACCTCGCCTAGGAAAAACAAGGCGTCTATAGGGGAAGGAGAGGGGATGGAGGACATAGAGGTGGATCGGGGCCAGTACCTGGGGCTCCGGCCCTTCCGCCTCCGAGTGACCAGGAGGTAGGCAATGCCACCTACAAGCAGTGACCCCACAGCAAGGCTCCCAGTGATGGTAGCAGCCATGATCCCAGCATTGACAGGCACAGGTGCCCCGACTGAGTATTCGCGCATACCTGGGAGTGAGGATTGTATCAGTGATGACTTTTGTCTGTCCTCACCTGATTATTTACTTTACAGTGCCATGTTATGCACTCTAGGCAACCTACTCTATACTGAGCCACACCCCAGCCCCTCACTGGGGGATTCTAGGCAGGGGCTCTACCACTGAGCCACACCCCAGCCCCTCACTGGGGGATTCTAGGCAGGGGCTCTACCACTGAGCCACACCCCCAGTCCCTCACTGGGGGATTCTAGGCAACCTACTCTATACTGAGCCACACCCCAGCCCCTCACTGGGGGATTCTAGGCAGGGGCTCTACCACTGAGCCACACCCC